AACAGTTATTTCTAATCCTAAAAAAATCCGTTTAATTTTTTTAACATTATAAATTTTAAATTGAAAATAACTAACTAACACAAATTAATATTATTTAAAAATTAAATTTTTAAAATTGAAAATTTTGTGGACACAAATTAATATTATTTTAAAATTAAAATTTTAAAATTGAAAATTTTGTGGTGCTGACACGTGGCACTTTTTCTTCTCCTATTATATATAGATTTATTATTATTATTTATATTTTAAAAACGAATTTTATTGATTGAAAATCAATTTCGAACTCTCAACTTTCACATTTAAAACAAATTAACAGTTTATATTTAACATTCTTCTTTTTTTTTTAAATAAAAGAATTGCTGATTATTTAATTTGAAATAAATACAAAATATTAAATAGTTAAATAAATGTAAATGATAAGGGTACAATTAATTATTTTTAAAATTTAAAAAAATAGAAACAAGTATTTCTAATCCCAAAAAAAATCCGTTTAATTTTTTTAACATTATAAATTTTAAATTGAAAATAACTGACACACACAAATTAATATTATATAAACATTAAATTTTTAAATTGAAAATTTTGTGGACACAAATTAATATTATTTAAAAATTAAATTTTTAAAATTGAAAATTTTGTGGTGCTGACACGTGGCACTTTTTCTTCTCCTATATATTATAGATCGATGATAATGCTAAGCTTTGTAGTCTTTCCTCCCCTTAAATTGATTTCCTTTGAGCTTCTTATATAAAAATTAATAACTAGTTTAATATATCTTATGTAAATAGTTTAGTAAGTAAGAAACTTGAAATAAAATAAACTTTAATAATCTATTATAAAGAAGATGACATTAAAGCAATGTTGATTTTTAAAAATATAATTTTGAAATGGTGAAAATTATAATAAAAAGATGATAATCATAAATATAATAAAACTTATAGTAATAGTAATAATAGTATCTAATAGATATTACTGTAGCAATAGTAATAAGCAAAAATAATAGTGAAATATAAATTATTCGACTTATTAAAAATTTAGAAGCTCAACGAAATAAATTAGAAGAAAGGAGAGACAAAATTGGGTGTCAACAAAGGTAGAAATAGAAAGCGTCAGATGTAAGTGTTGAACCTGAAAAAAGAGAGTTTGAGTCCCTAAACATGCAGGAGGATTAAACAATTAGTAAGTATGATGATCAAATCTCTTTAATTTGATAATAATACTAGACTTCTTGGTGAAGAATTTACATACAAACGGAATGTGGAGAAAGTTCTTGTGACTCTTCCTGAAAGGTTTGAATCTATGTTTTCCTCTCTTGAAGAATCCAAGATCTTGGAAAAACTTTTATTTGGTTTACTAATGAGTGCTCTTCAAGAACAAGAGCAAAGAAGGACTATGAGACGGGATAAGATCACTGAAGGAGCTTTTTTTGTACGAAAGTAAATTTTTAGTAAAGAAAAGCAACAGTTCAACCAAAAGAATAAACGCAAGCATGATGGAGGAAACAATAATGGACATGTGAAGCAAAAGTTCCCTCCGTGCAAACATTGTAAAAGAAGTACACATTCGAAGAAGCATTGTTGGTGGAGAGTAGATGCTATATGCAGAAATTAAAAGTAGACAGGACACATATTCAAGGTTTGCAAATCAAGACCAAAGCCCTCTGGACCATTGAAAGCACAAGTAGTAGAAGCTATAGATGCACATGAGGAGAAAAACTTTTCAGTTTCATACTTTTCGATCAATGAATCTTCTTATTCATGGATTCTTGATAGTGGTTGCACACGTCACTTGTGCAATGATGCCGAAATGTTCAAATTCCTTGATGATACTACAAATCTAAAGTAAAAGTGGGAAACGGTGAGGCAGTAAAAGTCAAAGGCAAAGGTACAATGTCTATCTAAACAAAATTAGGTATCAAAACTATTCATGATGTTCTGTACACACATGATATGAGTCAAAATTTGTTGAGTGTTGGACAAATGCTTGAAAATAATTATTCTCTGCATTTTAAGAATTGTGAATGTGTTGTTTCTGACACTTCTAGAGTAGAATTATTTTATGTCAAGAGGAGCAACAAGATGTTTAAAGCTTGGAAAAGGTAGTTCCTCCTAGAACATGAGAAATGTTGAAAGTTTCATGCATAATGGGTTGTTAGATGTAGTTCCTACTTCCTTATGTTGCATTTGAGTATCTTGAGTTTGGAGTTGATGTTTCCTCCTTATTTATGAGCATTGCATGCATATTGGGTTGATATAGTTAGTTCACCCCTCTTGTGATGTTTTGAGAGCGTTTAACTTGGAGTCGATAGTTTCTCCTCGATTGTATGCATTGCATTGATTAGGTTGGGTTGTTAGTTTCTCTCCCGTCCTTATAGAACCAGCTTAAGATCTCATTCGAGGACGAATGGTCCCAAGGAGGAGATATTGTAACACCCTATATCTGAAAGAGGGAAATAAACTAGACTGGAGGGAATTGCAGGTGCCAACCACGGACCGTAGGTGAGGTTCGTGGGTTGACACTAAGCCAAATTTCTGGAACCCCCAAATTCAAGGTCTCTGATGTCCAAACAACGGTTCACCAGGACGTCCTGTGGGTCAGACCACGGCTCGTTGACTCAGGTCCGTCGATGGGTCACTAAGAGAAGGTCTGAGCATGGACCACGGAAGGGACCTACGGACCATAGGTTGGTCCACACCCCGTGGTCCAAGGTTCCGTCGATGGTCAAATTTCTCTATATCTAGTGACGGTTATGCAGGACGGACCGTAGGTCCTGATGAGTCATGGATTTGGACTCATTTATGACTTTGTTTTTATAGATTCAGTGTCCTCAAATGCCTAATTTGTGCCATAAACTGATGTTAAATTCTTGATTTTCAGGTATATGGATTGAGGAACAAAGCAAGGACACTAACTGGCAACAAGGAGCAACACAAGCTGAGAAAGGAGAGACAAGAAGGCGTGAAGACCGGCAAGACTACTTGGTGAATTGCCGAGTCACCCTTAGACCGCTTAATTTTACAGAATACTGAGCCTGAAATGGGGAAAACTTAGGCAAACTGCTCTCTCTATCGGTGAATCACCGGCTGAATCGGTGAAGGAAAATGGTACCGCTGAACGCACTGATCAAGACCAAGACGAAATTGAATTGTCGAGCTAAGGGACCGAAAGGCGCATCACGGAAGTGATTTGCGATCCCGATCTAGATCGCCTAAAGAATGAGGAAAAGGTGAAGAAGAAAGGGGCGATGGACTGGAACAATTGGCGAGTCGCCGACTCGGCGATTCCCGACTTTCCTCGCCGAATGACCCCAAAAGGCAGCATCTCAGATCAGTATAAATTAACTTTTGGAAGAGAGAGAAGGCATTCATCCATTACAGAACGAAATAGAGAGAACAAAAACATTGTTGTTGATTTTAAGAAATTTAGGAGAAAAATATTTTCCATAAAACATTTTCCGACATCCTAAAGTGATAAAATATTTTTGGCTCATAATACGAGTGTTATCAAATTTCAAGAGGCTATTTTTCAAATTATTGTATTGTTTACATTTTAATTTATTTTTTTCATTGGTGTATATTTAAAAATTATACATTATAATAATTGATAACTTAAAATATTTAAAAAAATTCATTGCACAAAAATTGTGATAGATAATTAACATATATTAGCTGAAATGATTTGTAAAAAGTAATATAAATCACAATGATTAATAACTTAAAATTTAAAAGGCAAAAAAAGTTTAAGCGGTTCTTGAAATTCTATAATGCCACACACATGGAACAAAGGGAGTAACATATACTCCTTTATTCCAGATTAAGTGAATTTTTGGGGATTTTTCACAGTTCAAAATAATTGAATTCAAAGTTCAAGATGGATGTTTGAAATTTTTAAAAAATTTGTCAGTTCCTTTAATGAAATTTTATATTTTTAAAGAGATAAATTAGTGACTTGCAAAATTATATTTATGATTTCACTAATGGTAATAATGGAAAATATGATTTTAATTATGTTCTTGAATGTTTTTTTATAGGTGCATGTGCACTGCCTCGTAAATTCAGTTAGTATGGATTAGAGAGAGTATTATTTAAAAAAATATTATAAATTATAATAATTAACAATTTAAAATATTTAAAAGACATGTAAATAATTGGATCACTCTTGAAATCTATAGTGTCACATAAATTGGAAAAAGAGGAAGTAATTAAGATATATTATTGAAAATGATATAAAAAGTATTATAAATCAGAATAAGTGACAACTTAAAATTAAAACACATAACAAATTTTAGTTGACTTTCGAAAACCTATTACTACGTAAATTGGGTAATTGCGGGCAACATATTATTTAAAAATTATATAAAAAAATACTATAAATCACAATAATTAACAACTTAAAATATCTAAAATTGAATTAAAAATTGATTAAATCTCTAAATTCTATCCACATTATATAAATTAAATTAAAAAATATATATGTTGGGCCAATTCTAATATCTCTCTCTTTCTGCGTGCGCGCATAATAAAGTTAGATATAGACAAAGTGATGTGGCACCTCTCTATGACCTCTATTCCTATTCATCTTTTTCCCCTTTTTAGGGCATTTTTTTGTTTTTCTCATCTTTTTAATTTAGTTAGTATATATAATTAATGTTTTTGTTGTAAATATATTATATTAATGTGGATATACATAATTTCAAGGTATAATTTCACTATTATGTGTAATAATACTCACACCTCCACCATCTCATCATTTTTCTTCTACACACTTGATCTTCCCCTCATTCTCAAGAATTAATATCATGTTTATTGCTATCTCTTAGTATGCCATTTATAACAATACTAGATTAGCTATGGCCTATGCTAAGCACGGGTCCAACGTGGTTGGTTTTGTTGTTTGCTTTTTCTTATTGTAATAACAATATAAATTACACAGTTCAACTACATATAGCCAAATGTCTTTGTACCAACAAGGGTAGAACATGACATTTTTTCATGTACATATGCAAAAAGGATAAACTCATATACTATCTTTAAATAATATTGATTTATTCTTACATCAAGACAGATAAAATCAACACTAATACATACTAAAGTTTAAACCGACAATATCCAAGTGAATATATGCATAATTAGTAATATTTAAGTGCACAAGACAATTCCATAATCAAACATTTTAGACATAGATCAATAGTCTTTGCCTGAATCTTCTTTTATTCACCAGTCACCTATTTCTTGGAGTACTTCACAATGACTTACTTTTGGACATGCTAAAGTTATTGTAGAACCTTTTCAATTCTTCACAGAAATGAAGAACTCAAACAATGTTGAGGCAACGCAGAACTTCTCCAGAACCCATGATTTCAGGAATTTTCCACACTTTATGACAAATATTATACGTAGCCTTATCCATTTTGAAATTGTATCCTCTGGGATATAAAATTTAGTGCATTGGTAATTGTATCTTGGTAAAGACCCTAGCTGGAAATAAATGAACCAAAGTCCTTACCAGACTATCTTTTCCAAAGAAGCAGGCTCAAGAAAATACTTATTATTCACCTTGTCAGGATTGGATGTAAACCTGAAATGAAAAATTAGCACAATCAATCCAATATGTTTTTTCTCCAAATGTTACCAACTTCTATACCTTTTCAGTAATTTTCTGAAGCATCGAGCGCTAAGTCAGGTTGTTCAAGAGTAGAAAGCAGGAGACCAGTAAAGAACTTACACTATTCACTCTAGTTAAAACTGCACGAGCAGTCTTCTCCTCTTCTGAAAGAGAGAAGAAAACATAGCGAGAAAGGAAACTTCTTCTGTTTACCAGCTACCTTACTTCCCGTTAACTTTCTTATATAACCTGTGTTGTTTCCATTCCCATAAAGAGATGCAATCAAAATTCAATAGTGGCTCACTGTGAAGACGTTTTAAGGCCTTGCTATCATACTTGCACTCTCCTCTTTCCAGATACTATAAAGCACAGATTAAAGATTCAACATCAGAGCTGAGAAGTGTTATGAGGAATAACATAGTTATAGAAGAATTTACATGCCTCCGTTGCCTCTCTTTCTTTTCGAGCCTCAATGCTCATCACACACAATAAGTAGCAACCCCAATGCACATATTAGTGAACTGATAAAAGCAATTCCAAAAATGAATTCAATATCAACATATTACAGCATCAACCACAGTCGCAATAAAAATCAGTGACAATGAAATGCAACTATTCATAGGTTTTGGCCTCGTAACATAGAATGTAACACAAATGCATATTGAATTGTGATTGGTTTATCGAAGAGACTACTTAAGCTTCATATTCAAGACAAAACTAACAAAAAATTATCTTGAAAAGAAAACATCAATTTAGTACAATCTACTCAATTTAGGGTGTGTTTGGTATGAAGGAAAACATTTTCTGGAAAATGTTTTTCAATTTTCTCATGTTAGGTTGGGTTAAATGTTTTGGAAAATATTTTCCAAATCAACTCATTTTCCTCAAATTTAAGGAAAATGACTTCCCTTCAAAACTTAAGGAAAACATTTTCCAAAACTCTCTGCCAACTTCAAATTACAATTATATTTTTGTTGAAAAAATCAATTTATTTTGTCCCAACCCCTCAAACCAACCCCCCAAAAAATAAAAATAATTTAAGGCTTGTTTTTAAATTCAATTTTTTTACCCCACCCTCACCCCTACCCCC